GTCGCGTGCGGAGTTAACAAGGCTGCCATCAAAGTGACATACTTATAATATTTAATTTATAGGAAATATGCAAAATATATACAAAAATATGCAAAATACATATAACAAGTAATTTTTAGCAAAAAAACTAGTAATTTTTAGCAAAAAAAAACCGACTTCAACTCCCATATAAAAAAAAAATATATGTATATGATCCGCTGATCGGATCTTAACCAGATTAGTATGGGACCACCTCTGAGACACTACCTTTCCGATGCAAAAAGAATTATNAAAAAAAAAAAAAAAAAAAAAAAAAAAAGATTCCGACGAACTGATAACCTCCTCCTTTTTTGGAAGTCGGTTAAAAATATGCAAAATACATACAAAAATATGCAAATTATATACAAACATATGAAAAATATATACAAAAATATGCAAATATGCAAAATATGTGAAAATATGCAAAACATAATGGCTCCAAATTAACTCACTTCCTCCTATAATGAGTTTCTACCCAGGTCCGGACTTTCTGTGATGTTAAACAAAAATAATCACTTGCATAAATATCCGAGCTCTAGTAATCAATAAAACAGAAACAGATATCTTCAAATTACAAACGTCACATACTTTTTTCTCAAATTCAATTGCAAATGGCTGCTTGTCAACCGGTCAGATCAGGGCTCGAATCGTCCCATACGATATCGTATTACTCGTCTCGTAAAAACAACACTTTCGGATTATGACATACGTGAACGTGCTCATTATCGCTTTCAGCTTATACTACTGACATATCACGTAATTTTCTTTCGTATAGTTTTCGATCCGTGAACGGATGTTACCATTCGAGCCCTGTATAATTGGTTTATGGGTTAAATTCAAAGTGGTTTCGATAGCCAGTTCAATATTTTCCAAGAAAAACAGTTGGTACCCATTAAAAACTTGTTCTATAAAGCAAATTTTTGTTTGTATCTTCAGGGTAGTTAAAATATAATTTGGTCTCATTTTTTATCAAATCCCATTTCGTTGTAAGTAGTAGCCAAAACCAACAAATTCAAATAGCAGTTTTAAGTTTTTGTACGTACATTCAATTATTTTTTGCTATATTTCTTATAATCCAAATTACAGTTGTTTGCTAAAATATTCGTACATACTCAACGTGTTCAGACAATTGCTGATTTACTTATCTTCTTGTTTAGAAAAAAATCTTCGTAATAAATTAGATACGTATTACATAGGGTTTGAGAAATATAAAAAAATCAACTAAAATTTTTATTTAAAAAATTTATTTATAGTACATAAGACTCTTATTGCATATAAAATGCTGAGGACTAATGAATGCATAGATAACCAAAAATGGATAGTTATTAGAAATACGTTTGCCCTGTTGTATATGTAGATATAGTAATATTGGCATTTTAAAGGAGTGTGTTTATGGTGGAATGGAAAATGCATGCATTCTATTTTTGAAATCAGCAAGTTGGGTAGCCGTTACCCTACAAAGTTTATGCGGTTAATGCAGTCATTAGCTTAGCACTAGAAGACCTGTAAACGGTCTGTATTTTATCAACTATCACATACTGCTCACACGCCACAGTCTTACAATTCGGAGCGCGGAGTGTGATCTTCCGTTGGCGATGGCTTTGGTGTTGCTTTCTCTTTGTTATCCTCAGTAGTAGGTGCATCAATAACTTGCTCTTCACCCTCATTTACAATATTTTCTGCTTCTGATTGCTCGTCTTTTGTTGGGTCGTCAACGTTGGCGCCAGACCCGCTTCCACCCTCACTGTATCCAGCAGCGTCCTCGGTTTTTGTGTCTTTCTTAGTTTTTTTGGTTGGCTTCACTTTGGGTTTCCATATCTTTATTTTGTTCACCATATACTTAACCTCTCGATCGAGTAACGACATTTTGTCGGTGATATCTTTAACGGTTAGGCGCACTTCATCGTGCCGCTTAAGTTGCTGCTGTGCCTTACTTTCACTCTTCTTCCAATCGCTAGCCTCACGAATTGCTTTGCTCAGCGTTTCTATTTCGATTTCTGTGAATACGTCTTTTTCTGGGTTAGATGCTTTAGTCAGATTTCTAGCGCTGTTTAAGAATTTCGTAGCACCATCTATCATTCCATCGAAAGCCTTCAACGCATCAGGACGCTCAGCATGTTCCCAATGGCGTGCCAAGAAAACGTTTGTTAACTTTTTCAAATCCTTGAGGCGCTGCTCATACATTTCGGGTGTAGGATTTTCATGATCTTCATAAAGCCAATCGGATATTGAAGAACACAGTTCAAGAATCTTTTCCTTTTCCTCGGGTGAGGCGCATTTCGCATACTCTTCTTCGCCTAATTTTTGTTGAATTTCAACGACATGTGATTCGAGTGCATTCAGAGCAGACTCCAAGCGGTTGCGATCAGATTCGACAGCATTAATTGATGTTAACTTCTCCACAGCTTTTTCATAGGATTCTCCAGCCAGCGGGCGTGTAAAAAGTTGTGTTATTTTATGCTGCACCGGCTCTTTTACGGTTACCAGTTTGATAGTATAATTTTTAGCAGCTAACTTCACTTTTTCATCGGCCGATTTAGTTTCCTCAGTTTTGTTGGTGGCCTTGGTATCTTTTTCTTCCCTCTTCTCAGCCGTTTCACTTTCAGATTTTGTGGAATCAAATTTTTCGGCGTCGCCGTTTTCGCCCTCACTTTCGGGATCATCCTTAGTTTCGTCTTTAGAGAACAGTTTGCTTATTGTATTACCCAACTTAGCAAGTGTACCCTCATCCTCCTTTTGCTTCTCATATATAAACTCTACGCCAACGCAGCGGAAGATGCCCGAATCGTCCAAGGTAAAGTAAGCCTTGATACCCTTAGACTCAATCACTTCATTCTGGTTCTGCTCAATCAATTCCTTCACTTTTTCCAGCTCCACATGGGAAATATTTAAGGAACCGATGTATGAAATCTCTTCAGCAGACAAGTGACTCAAATCCCCGTAATGCACATGGAAATCGAAGTCTTCAGTGTGTTTGTTGAAAGTGATCACTTTCTTTTGTGGATAAGAGTTCATGTGGCCAAAGAGGACTCGCTTCACTTGACGAACCGCGTTGCCATCACCTGGATCACGCTTAAATGTAACTTGAATTGGGAAAACAACAGCATCCTTTACAATGAATTTTTTAACCTTGAAACCTGTTGCCAAGTCAGCTGCTTTGTAAACTGCGCCCATTGTTGCTGCCTCATCAGCGTTGAGACTCTTACCCAATTCTTGATTGATCGCTTGCTTTAGGATTTCTTGCACCTTAGGTACGCGAGTACCGCCTCCAAAGATTATAACCTGCGAGATGGTGTCCAATGAAAGACCAGATGCGGCCAACGCTTGCTCTAGTGGCTTAACAACCCTTGGCCACAAGTCCGCACCGAGTTCTTCCAGCTTTTCACGTGTTACTTGCACTTTGAAATCATGATCTTCGAGCAAATTCTCAATTTGCGCAAAATGGTCATTATTCGCCGAAAGTACATTCTTTACTCGTCCAGCCTCCTTGAATAACTTCGCAAGCGCTCGTGGACTTTTTGTTACATCAGTTTTGGTTTTTTTCATGGCATTAAATTCTGCAGCTAGATAATCACGTAGGCGTAGTTGAAGTTCTAGACCACCAAGCGTGCGATCGTAGCCAACTCCGAGTACTTGGACTACAGGATTCGTTTCTTTCGTTACTTTATCCTTCATAAGCTGATAACTAACTACAGCAGCCGACGTCTTGTAAGCACCCATATCAAAGAAAATGTAATATTGCGCCGTCTCATTGATCTCTGCACGATGGAATACACCATAGTTAAGGGCAACGGCCGTAAAGTCGTTGATCAGCTGCAAAACTTTAAGGTTAGCCAATTCAGCAGCGGTGAGTAATGCCTCACGTTCAGCCTGCCCAAAGTAACCAGGAACAGTTAGAACGCATTCAGTAATTGGCTGGGATGTGGATTCTTGTGCAAACTCCTTAGCCTTAACGAGAATTTGCGCGACAAGCTCTTCAACGGAAAACTGCTCTGTATCACTTTTCTTGAAAACAACTGTATTGCGATCAGGATCAGCGATTATCTCGTAATATGGAAAGCGTTTCCTAAAAAGACGGTATTGTTTAGTACAAAATTATGTTATAAATACGTAGGTACATATCTGTGTTCATATGCAATAGAAGCTTATGTCGGGAAGTTGGCTTTAGTATAATGCGGCATTCCCTTTATTCTTTAAACAAGGAATTTTTTGATGAGACCTAATAAGAATATACATATTGACTTTCTAGTGTCGGAACTAATTTTGCACGTGTTTTTTCCCAAAGTTCTTCAACGGCTCGGCGCCAGTGAATCATTCGCAATCATATGCTACGAATGCCGCATTATACTTAAGTCAGCCTTTCGCCATAAATTATTCCATACGAACACAGATAATGTATGTATGTATATGGTACACGTGAGATATGAATTAAGCGTTTAGGTTTGTCTTTGAACAGGATTTGCTTGTATAAAAATATTTGAAAGAGAAATAAAACCGTTTATGGCGAAACGTTTTCTCGCTGAATCCAAAAAATAATTTTTGTTTTTTAAAATTATTGAAATAAATAGGGCTTCCCAAATTACAGTTTATTCGTTTACTAACCTGTACAAATCCACAATTGGGTTATCAATAGTTTTGCCCAACAAATCGAGTAAATATCCATAAGCGGCAGATGGTTCTCGAATTCCCACAGTCACAGCATCTTCGCCAAATGTGCGCAAACCATCGCGGAAAGCGAGTATAACCGGCGTTTTACGTTTCGATTCCCGATTAAGCGCTATTTCCATAGGTACGCCAGGTGATACAACACCAACTTTCATCCATTCTGTACCTAAATCGACAGACATTACCGCAGCAGCATTTGCGCCTGGTATGTGGCTACCAGTAAACAACAGCAGGCACGCGGTGGTGAGCAGGGATAGAGCATATGTCAATGACGTGGTATACCCGCGCCGTCGGAGCGTGGTACTTTGGTTGAGGGTCTTGTCGGCGAACATGTCGACGTGTTGCCGGTAATATACTTGCAGCAGATAAATGATTCCTACCAAATGGATAGAGAATAAAATATTTGAAAAATATTTGTCAGCGCCGCATAAAATAATAAAACAAGTTAGGTTAGTTTCAATGGACAAACTTTCACTAAAAATTATAATTTCTTTTCACACTTTCATGGAAGTTACCTTGTTAAGCTTATTTATTGAAATGTTGTGAGAGAAAAGGCCAATTTGTACAAGAAAATTCCCAGAACTTTCGCCCACTTCTACAAACGATTTTATATCCAAGCAAAATGACAGCAAGCGAATTATCTGACGTGTTCAATTGGATTTCGCTTTCAGCCATTTTCAGCTGATTTGATTGATATCCCAAGTCGTCAATGCAGTGCTCACAGTGTTGCTAGCGCAGTTTCAGATTTAAAGTACAGATGTCGCCATGTGAGAGAAAATGTCAATTTAGTGCAGAGGTGGCCAAAACTCACACAATCATTTCGTCGATGTTTTTGCATCGACTAATTGCAAAACTGCCTAAATTGCCATTGTGGCACAAATGAAATGTGGTAACCCTGAAATCCAGGTATCGAGATTCATGCATAAAAATCATAATATCGTTATTAAAGCAACAGTTTTTGTAAAATAATAAGTAGAGAAAATACTGCCTCTCAAGGCAATGCCTTCACAGGAAAACCGTTTTCTCGCTCTCCTGTAAAATTGAGTGCCGTAAGATAGGCGGTTTTGCAATTGAAACGATGCGATTTGTAAAATATTTTTCAATATAATTGATGCAAGTAATAAATATTTCAAATAAAAACTGATAGAAATACAAAAGGACATCATATTCTTCGATTTAGAAGCAAATTTTTTCCGTTTTGTTAAGAATTCTCCAAAATAAATTTTGTAAATCGCATCAAAAAGGAACGTAATCCAGAAGTACGGGAACACAAAAACCACATTTTGTGCCCAGAATTTGAGAAACAGATGATTCACGTTGTTTTTGTTTTTGTCAATTAAATGCAAACTCTTGGAAATTGAATTTTGGTTTCACAAATTCGATTTTAAGTATATAAACAGGCAACATGTAAACACAAAACAGCTGATATGCACTTTGTCACTTTATTCATTTTTACCTGGAGAAAAATTCCGGGCTGTTTCGGGCACGAAGAAGAAAACACTTACGATCCAATACGTTCCAATTTTCTCTCTCTATTACCCATTTTGTTGAGTACGGAAATAATTTTTGGGCTGTTTTGGCACTCGCGGGACCTCGCGTTGCGTACGGGAAAGAACCTAATATTACATTTACATTGGACCAAAATGCGTGATTTGAAATCAGTCATTTGAAGGTGTTTACACTGCTTGATCCGCATTTGCTTTGACTTCTCATCAAATGAAAAGGGAAGACAAAAACAAAATGTATGTAAACAAACACTACATTTATTATATTGTTAACGCTTTTTGGACACAAAAAGGCAATTATTCTTTGATTAAACTAAAAATGTGTAAAGCTCTTGTATAAATTAACAATTTTTACACACAAATTTCAAAGATTTATTTATTTCGTTGTGTTTGTTTTGTGTTTGAAAAATTCCAAATGTCAAAGACAAACCAAAGCTTTTGTGGAACTTTTGTTTCTGAGTGCGTTCAATAAAATAGTACGGCAATTGGAACGCATTTGTTTCGTGATTTTGTGTAAATGCGTCGAAATGCGTCATTCTGGAAATGTGAATTTGTATGGAGAAATGCGTGATTTGGCCTCGCAATTGAGGTTTCTCGCCCAAATGACGCATTTGGGCTCAATGTAAATGTAATATAATGAAGATAATAAGGGCCGGTTACTCAATCAGGGTTGCCTTTTTGGGCTTTTCCTAACAAAAGTTAGGTAGTTTTTTTTTATTGTTGGTAGGATGGTAGTATGCTTAAAATTATGGTAGGTTTCTTTGCTGATAAAACAGAAAACATCTCTAATAGTTTCCACAATGAAAAGGATGTTAAAATATTTTAAACGGCATTAGAAGAGCGATTCAAAAGCATACCTCATAACAAATGTACGTGTTTACAGAAAATTTAATTTTTATCATACACGAAAATTAAAAAGAAAACTTATTGTTGGTCCAGTAAGTCGGAGAATCTCAAAGTTTTTAACCGCAGCTCGAAGAAATTAATGGCAAACTTGCAGCGCGCAGATTTTGCCACAAGCCCAGCTGCTCTTAGACCCGGACATTTGTCAAGCCTAACTGTGAGGTTTTTTACCTTACTTATGTATTTTTACATATTTCATAAAAATACATTTTAAAAATACGTTTTTGGGTAGGAAATGACGTTTATTCAGACCAAGAGGGACGTTTTCTCATGCCGAAGACATGGCAACACTGCTCACGCGTCTGATGCAAACAGTGTTGTCAACGATTTCGACGAATCAAAGGCAAGGAGAATTAAATAATAATTTGATAATTTTTGATTTGATACTTAAGTTTGAAAATTTTATTTTTCGCTTTTCAGTTAACTTGTATTGTATTTTTTTAAACTTGGTTAATTTTTTTTTAAGTAAAAAGCTTCAAGTCAATCAATGGTACAGTAATTTTATTTTGTGAAAGTAAACTTGAATGTTTAGCGCAAATAATGCTTTTTGAATTCTCTTCCTAGGTCTCTTCTCCGGCAACACAGAAAGGAGAATTTTACTTAGTAAAGGTTATAATACCTAAGTGCAACAAGTATTGGACCTCTGGATAACTTCTCTTATAT